AAGCGTCTGCCTTCGGCTCAGGTCATGATCCTAGGGTCCTGAGATCGAGCCCCGCATCAGGCTTCCTGCTGGGCGGGAAGCCTGCTTCTCCCTCTCCCACTCCGCCTGCTTGTGTTCCCTCTCTCACTGTCTCTCTTGGTCTGTCAAATAAATAAATAAAATCTTTAAAAAAAAAGATTTTTATTTATTTATTTGGGAGAGAGAGCATGAGAGACAGCACGAGCAAGGAGGAGGGCAGAGGGAGAAGCAGATTCCCCGCCGAGCTGGGAGCCCGATGTGGGACTTGATCCCAGGACCCTGAGATCATGACCTGAGCCGAAGGCAGCCATTTAACTGACTGAGCCACCCAGGTGCCCCAAGGAAAGGAATCTTAAGGGACTATATTACTGGACCTATTCTTGCAAAATGACCTCCATCTACACCTAACAGGCAATGAGCCTGGGCCTGTGGTCAGCCATAAGCTGAGGACTGGCTTATCTCGTCCACAGGTAGCAAGGCAGGGGCCCAAAACTGCAAATTATAGTTGATTCTTGAAAAACTAAGGTTTGAACTAGGTGGGTTCACTTATATGTGGATTTTTTATAGTACAGGAAATGTATTTACCTTCCTTATGATTTTCTTAATAACATTTCCTTTTCTTTACCTTATTTTATCATAAGAACACAGTATGTAATACATTTAACAAAATGTGTTAATCAACTGTTATGTTATTGGTAGGGCTTCCAATCAACAGTAGGCCATTAAGAGTTAAATTTGGGAGAAGTCAAAAGTTATATGTCGATTTTTAACTGTGTAGGGGGTTGGCATCCCTAATCCCCATGTTGTTCAAGGGTCAACTGTGTGTATCATAATAATGTGTGTCATAATAGTGAAGGTTTTGCTATTTCTAAGGATTTACAGTAAACATTTTCAGGAGAGAGATTTTTTTCTCACACTTGAGAAATGACTATAACACTCCACAAAGAAAAAAAGTCTTTCCTCACCACAAAAAAAAAATACCATGACCTACAATTAAACAAGACAATCTACTAAGCAGTTGTATTATGCATGTGTTTTCTCTTGTTAGAAATTATCTAGCTTAGGGTTGCCTGGGTGGCTCAGTCGGTTAAGCATCTGCCTTCGGCTCAGGTCATGATCCCGGGGTCCTGGGATCAAGCCCCACATTGGGCTTCCTGCTCAGCAGGGAATCTGCTTCTCTCTCTCTCTCTCCTTCTGCCCCTCCCCACGGCTTGTTCTCTCTCTCTCTCTCAAATAAATAAATAAAATCTTTAAAAAAAGAAAGAAATGATCTAGTTTAGAATTCTGAGATACAAAACAAAAAGAAACAAAAAAGGCAAATGTGAGGCTACTCTCAGAGAATAAGAAGTAAGGTGATAGCTTCTGGATCCCCAGATTAGTAATGGAAATAGAAAAAGGTAATGGACAATGCTATTAGGCCCTTAAAGGAGCTCAGTCTTCATTTCTGTTATGAAGGCATGGCTATGCAAAGGGTTCCCAGCCCTTCTGATGGCTGAAATATCTTTGAGTATCATGGCCCTAACTTTGATTGGCTGATAAAGTCAACATCATTCCACCAGCAAAAAGCAAAAGTTTATGTTTGTCAGTTTACATGCTCGGTATTAGCCTTCTAAATTAACAGAATTTTATTCAAGCAAAGTATATAACAAGCCCTAGTTCTGTCCTTACAACATTTTCCTCCTAAAACGGACCTGTCTTCTTCATCTCAATTAATCGCACAACCTCCACCCAGCTCCTTAAAATAAAAAACCAAGAAGTTATATTTCACTTCCTTTTTCCGTTGCCCCCATGTCTAACCCAGCAGAAGTCCCACCAGCTGTGCCTCCAGAATCCATCCCATACCTAAGGACTCATCTCTAACTCCCTCACCACCATCCCTGACTCAACTACTGCAGTAGCCCAGCTGGTATTTCTGCGTCTACTTCTGCCCCCTCTACTCCATTATCCAGAGACCAGGCTGTGATCCACGTAAAATACATTCTTCCCCTGCACAAAACCTTCAAAAAGCTCCTAATTAAAAAAAAAAAAAAAAAAGTTTTCCTTCCATGGCTTTCAAGACCCTGCACGTTCCGACCCCAAGTCCTTTCTGCCCTCAACTCATGAAATTTCAGCTTCATAGGCACTAAGACTGTGCTTTGCTTAGGTCATGCCTATGCTCTCCCCAGACCCTTTGTATTTGCCAGGTGAGCTTCCTGGAATGACCTTCCCTCAGACCTCCCATCATAGGTCCTTAGTGAGGCTTCCTTTACATTCACCCTACTCCACCCTCATTGACCGTATCATATTACTAGGGTTTATTTCCTTTATAGCATTTATTAGAACCTGATGTAAATTCATGACCTATGCTTTTATTTGTTGTTGCTCTAGTTTCAGTTTTTTGTTGTTGGTTTTTGGATTTTGTTTTTTATGGGTCTCTCCCCACTGTGATAAGGATCTAAATTTCAGGAGAAGTCTTATTTCTCAAAAAAAAGAAAGAAAGAAATCTTATTTCTCTTCCTCACTAATGTATCTCCGGAGTCTAAACCACTGCCTATAGAATGTATTTGGTAAGCATTTGTGAACGAATTAACTTATCATTCAAAGCTCTTTGCCTTTTAGGGTTCTCAAAATTTTAACCAAATTAAAAGATGAAGAGAAAATGTCAAGTCCTTTCATATTTTCTATAGCATTTCTAAAGCAAAATGTTAGGCCCTAAAAATGTATAATATAACATGGGACTAAGAAGGGCTGAATGAAGAAGTCTAATCTATAAACCATATCAGTAAGACCCCTAAATCAAAACTCTTTATTGCTTTAATTATGTGTATAAATGGAGAGAGGAGAAGGGGGAGGGATGCTCTTAGGGAACGAATTTGGGGGTGGGAAGAGTGCCAGTTATGAGTTTATTCCCACATGGTGTTATGTCTCGAAGGCAACTGTCCTCAAGAGAATTGTTGGTTAGAAATCCTCCCAACAGCAATTTTCTGGAAATCAGCAGAGAGACTAATTATCAGAAACTTCTCTCCACACAGATAAGTGCATTTCTCCCCATTCCTCCACTAATATCTCAGTCTACATAACTCCTTGTATTGCCACCTCACCTGAGTTTTGAAGAAAATCCTTGACTGTGCATATAGCAAATGCACAGTTCTGTGACTGACCTGCTGTTTAAGTATATGGAATAACATTTCTTACTAGAGTGCCTTTAATTTCATATTTGTTTTGGGTTTAGTTTGGCAGGGGGAGTAAAGATGTATTACAGAGCCAACAAAAAAAGTAAGGAGAAAATGCAATCGCATAAAGTTGGGGGAAACAAATTCCCCATTATAAGGAAATTACTCACCACCATATTAAGGGATTGTATTTTTTGTTTGCTTTTCCCTCTGCATGCCACACTCAACTGTCCTCCAAATAGACAATGATGGGAGGAATTACTACTCTCTAACACAAGGATGGAGAGGAGGTGGGAAATAAGAGGCAGCCAGTTCAGTGATTAAAAAAAAAGAAGAAGAAGGTAGAGAATTACCCTATTCTTTTCAGTTTATTCCAATTTCACATTTTTTGAATGATAAGACTGTTTACTTCTAAACTTTAAGAGAAGAAAATGCAGTCAGCTCGGGAATAGTTTCAGTCAAAAGGTAAGCTTTAGACATGGCTAGGGTTTGTCTTTCTCTGTACCATGTTGATTTTAAATCCAACTCGTAAATTGATATATTTTCTAGAACACAGCTCTACAAGACTTTTAGCCACCACTGTCCCCAGATTCTGTCTCTATAATAACACACACCTCTCACCAAAAAAAAGGGGGGGAGGAAAAAATTTAAATTATCCAATTCTCCCTATAGAAAAAAAGATCTACCTAGCAGTAATTAGCTATATGTCATTTAAAAAAATAATTGAATAAATAAAAAGATCTTAAGAAGGAACTTTCATAAGTCACAGCACATCCTGAGGAATCTCCTTTCACATGGGAAGTATCAAGAAGATCTCACAATATTTTACATGATTAATTTTCTTAATACTGAAGGGAGAATCAAGGAAGAACATAGGTTATAATGCATGAAGAAGAGAAAGAAGAAATACAGGACATATAAACATTTTATTATTTACTCTCACGTCTTGATCTCAGTCAGGGTTCATTTTCATTGTCTTTCAAAACTCACTATTATCTCATTCATCGGTCAATAGCATATACACTGAAGGCACAGAAGGATATATATAGTTGGAAGCAAAGACAACTGTAACTAACCCATATGGATGAGAACCCATTACTTTGCCTCACAAATATCTGGGCTCCACACAAGTGAGCCAATTAAACCTTCAATTTTCTTATGAGAAAATCATATAGGAGAATTCTGATATATCTGGGGTTTAGATGCATACTCAACACAACTACCAAGTCACACATGTACCACATACCTGAGAAAGATTAGCAATACCCTGGCTTGAAAACAATAATCCAGCTGTCCTGATACTCATTAGGAATTATGAATATGCCTTTTGGATTACTGTCCTGCAGTATTAATTCCCCTGGTGAATGGGAGCTGGGGAGAAAGCAGACAATGCTGCTTCATACCAATGGTTAGTACACAGGTGAGCTAAGAACGCACTGAAATAGTGTTCTAGGCATCCATGGAAACCTGCAGCCCACTGGGAACAAAGCTCTGGCCCTATGGTACTGCTTCTGAAGTAATGTCCTCGACCAGCAAAGTCAGTAGTCCTGACTCGAGCCACTTTAAAATCATCACTGATTAAAGCAGGCTAGAAAACTGTCCAAAGTGGCCATCTGTTAAGAAAAGGTTTGGCCAATATACTTCAGATTGCTCTAGTCAAGAAGGAAAGCATAGAAACAGACATGCTGAGTTGCTGAGTGGCTGAGGGGAGGATGGTGGCTTGCATCACATGTCGGTTTTTAAATTGTAGGGTGATTGGGCAGACACATATCACAGCTGCTATTTCGACTGCAATCTGCCTCACAGACTGAAGTCAATGTTCCTACTTACATCAAACGGAGCTGAACTTGATTGGGCATTTCGATCACATGGTTCCCTGAAGCAGTCACTGAAAGGAAGTAGAAGACCCATGGCAATGATCCGGGAGCAAAACTTCTCTGCTTCTTCTGGAGGCCCGTTCTCCTGCTGGCTGAATAGCTTCTCCAACAGAGTTCGCCCTGCAGATGAAACAATCATTAGGAAGGAGCACCGGCAAGTCACCTGGCTCAGAACCCTCCCAGAGGAGTGAGGCCTGGAAAACACAACCCTTGAGCATCACTGTTGCCAAGGCTACTGAGGTGCTTCTCAATCACAGAGAAAATCTGCAGTCTGAGGCCTGAGTTTCCATATGGGAAAAGGCAGCTCTAGTTTGCTCTCCCATCCCCCAAAACATGTCCTGCCCCAAAAGAGGATGATCACAGGATGGACTATACATTTTCCACCTGAAGAAGTGCCCAACCTTTTGGATTTCATTGGTAGCCCTTCTTCCTCTCTTTGTTTACCCTACTGATGGCTCTCTAAGGGAGCAGTTACCAACCACCAAGTGGGCTAAGAAATGTCAGTGGCTGATATTCAGTCTCTGGCATGGCAATGGGGAGGAGCAGGGAATGAGGAGACAGGAGGCAGGCAAAGGCCCTAACCCCTGAGGAAAGAGTTGGCCAGCCAATTCATCACCCTGAAGAGGAATGTGACAGGCTCAAAATTTTCTCACATACTCCTCAGAACCATAGCTCTAGGGTAGGTGCAAACCTCAGTTTTTATTTCCCTAAAAGAGACAGGAAAAGAGATGCATAAGAGGAGGCCACCAGCTGAGGACCCCAGAGGGCCTGGGTCCACCTAGTGTCATGGTTCTCAATCCTAGCTGTACCTTAGATTCATCTGGGACAACATAATGACCAGAAGTCCCTAATTCATTTCTGATATTATTTGCTCTCTAATTTATTATCCTTTAGAAATTGATTTAGCTGATTTCTCCATTAGTCAACTCTGGTAGAAGAAATGGAAAATCGCTAGGACTTCTTTCAGGGCCATAACTACTCCCTCAGTTCTTGCCCTGCTCCTGCCCCTCCCTCATTCTTCAAATTTAGATTAAAATCACTTATCCAGAAAAGACTCCAGTCACCCCCTTCCATTTGTTGGAAGTACTAAGTCCCTTCTTAGTACTTTGTGTAATTAGTGATTTTAATTAATCATGTGTATACTTGCTTAATATCTACACCTCTTGGGGCCCCTGGGTGGCTTAGTCAGTTAAGAGTCTGCCTTCGGCAATCCCCATCAAAATACCATCCACTTTTTTCAAAGAAATGGAACAAATAATCCTAAAATTTGTATGGAACCAGAAAAGATCCCAAATAGCCAGAGGAATGTTGAAAAGGAAAAGCAAAGCTGGCGGCATCACAATTCCGGACTTCCAGCTCTATTACAAACCTGTCATCATCAAGACAGTATGGTTCTGGCACAAAAACAGACACATTGATTAATGGAACAGAATAGAGAGCCCTGAAATGGACCCTCAACCCTATGGTCAACTAATCTTCGACAAAGCAGGAAAGAATGTCCAATGGAAAAAAGACAGCCTCTTCAACAAATGGTGTTGGGAAAATTGGACAGCCA